TAAATTATGCATATTATTAAATTTTCGGAGTTATTGGTCATGTTATTACTTCAAAAATACGTTTAGAATAAAAACTGTAAAATAAAAAGTATTGGAAATGTTTTATTCTAAAAACTTTATTTTTTGTATTATCTGTTACAATTAGCCAAATCTTTGTAAGATATTATAATTTTTCGTAAAAAGTGAATACAGGATTAAATAATGGCAAACCTGCACACTTAAGTATTGATGTGACACAAATCTATATCAGGGGAAGTCTACGGGTAACAGCTACTGTAAAATAAACATGCACTGTATACAGATTTACAAAATACGTTTAATTTTACTTCAGTTAGAAAAGAGTTTAGAAAATAAAGCTGAAAATACGTTTAGAAATTAACTATTTATAGTTTTATAAAATTATTAATTTAGTATATTTGGTCAAGATAAAACTTTTGATTTGTTATGTCACAAAACTCATAAAAAATTCATAGCTCATGCTAAAACTGTATTTAGACTGTTTTAAACTATAAATGTCGCACAATTATAAATTTCGTAAACAAATTTATTTTTTTCTTTTATTTTACAGTTAATTTTTTTTCATATCAACATTGTTTTATGGTCCTTTAAAATAGGCACAACATGTTTTACCACATCAAGTTACATCGATTATGTAAAAGTGCTATTGCACCTAAATAATTTAATTACAGTTGAAATAAGCTCATTTGAAATAAATTAATGTTTGTAGTTTTAAAACTTGCTAAACAAAATTTATTTGATTTTAAGCACATAACAAACCACATGTTTTGCTAACAAAAAAAGAAAAAACCACATATAAATGTGTAATTATTTATATCACCATATAGAATTCATTATTACATTACTTTAGACTCTCATAACCGTAAACAATACCAATACTTAATTAATCAATATTAATCAATAAGTGATCAAATGGTCCCTACACATATTATCTGTTAACTTGGTTTAATAAAATAGAATTTAAAATAATTTGGAACAGTTTTACTTACTTGAATGGATTTGAAGGTGGCGTTGAAAGGCATCTTTGCGATCAAACTTTTTATTACATTCATGGCAAGAGAAAATATCAATCTCAGTTGGATCTAAATGTTTTCTCATGTGGCGCTGTAAACTTTTTTTATATGTAAATTGTGTGCTGCAAATATCACATGTAAATGCCATCTTCTTTTATCTAAAAACAAACAAAGACAAGTTTAAAAGCAGCATCAATGCAATTTTAAATAATTACCTTCTAAATATGTCAGGCTCATAGGCATAGTAAACAAAGGTTGTTTTCAGTATATTTGTACTTACGAACAAAATTACTCAAGTCATCAGAATCATCATCATCATTGAAAAATAGTACTTGTAATTTTAATGTTTTATTTGCACCCCTACAAATCATTCAATTTCTTAAACATATCATTCAAAAACTAATATTTACATGAACATTTTTGTTGGATAGCAAAGCTTATTTCTTATTATTACTCATTAGTTTTTTTTGTCATACTAATAATTCGACTCTTTACTTTGGCTTTCTCTTTTTTTTATTACTTTAAAAAGAATACGTTTTCATAGTTTGTGGAGTGTCTGGTTTATGTGGCACAAACACTTTATGATTTTGTGGATTTTTTCAAAACAGTTTTAGGAGTAAACATTTAATACCATTCACTATGTCAATTATGCTAGAACATGGATTTTTCCCCTTTATCCTTTACGATTATTCCTTTACAACAAAATTATATTTCATGAATAATATTTATACTAAGCCATAATTATGTAATGCTAGGTTATAAAAAAACTTACCTTTTTAATAATAAACACGGTGTAAACTGATAGCAAACTTTCACCAAAACACTGTAGATCAGGGATGTTACGCACTAACGGAGAGATCAACTCAGCAGCAGTAACAAAGTGAAAGTGAGCACAACCCTAAGTTGCGTCTCTATTTATACACAACCCCTAGCAGTGTGACCTCAATAACTCTAAAAATACCTCAGTTTGTTTCCTGTTATGATCTTATTGTGAAATCACTGGACATTCTTTTTAAGTTGCGAAAGAGTTTATATAACAAAGGATGAAGTTCATACTTTCGTTGGAGGAAAGGTTTATAGTTAGCTAGCTATTGCAATGCTATAACGTTTGCTTCAGATTTTTACTTTTTTTAATAAGCTATTCGATTTTTTAATATTTATCGTAAAAGAAATCATCACATTAAACGGTATCCAAATGATTTGTGAGCAAATGTGACGTTCAATTTTTCATATGTAGCAAATTTGAATGAATGTTTTTCTTTTACAAATAAACAATGCATTAATTTAGATTCAACATACTGTTGCATCCAAGATTATTTGTACAAAAAAGGATGTTAACAATTTGCTATGGGTACTGTTTTGAATAAAGTTGACAAACCTAAAAATAACATATTATAAATGAAGATGCACTTTGTCTTATAATGATTTACAATGCGCGTTTAAAAAAATGTATTGTGTTAAACATTATCTATAAAACAGCTAGTTTTTTATTTATTTTTATTTAATGGCATAAAAAAATAGAGATTTTGTTTATTTCAGATAACGTAACTATTCAGAAGGTTAAAATAAGTGAGTTAGATAAATATTTGAACTCTTTGTATATTTTGATTTTTTCCTAAATCTTTTTAAATAATTTAATACAAAATGACATTGATATCCATAAATGTTATAATGTTTCAGAAATTATTATTCTTTGATAAAACTCAGTTTGTTGAAAATATATGTCTTTTTTTATTTTAACCCAACACACTTTAGTGCACAAAACAAATGTATGCATTTTTATGAACTTATAGTTAACTTTAAGCATAAGTATTATATTTACAGTATTTGTTATGAGTAGGTGTTTAAATGACACTGATTATACAGAATACAATAATAGGTACAATTATGCATTTACAATATATATGAACTAAGATCGTGTTTTGATTACAATCATATTAACAACACTTTGTACAACCTTAGTCAATGAATATTTAATGAATACATTGCTAAAACATCTTACAAATGTCGTAAGTACGATATATAAACAGAGATGACGTTTAAATTAAAACGATATTGAAGCAAATGAGTTTTTAACTTAATTTAATCTCAGTGAATACATAGCAGAATTATATGTTTACGATACATGGCTGAGATATCTTAATGTGTTTGAGGGATTGCACTGTTTAATTTTTATTCATGTCAAATTGTAATTCCACACTAATGTTCAATTTTTAAGCAAGGTGTTGTTTATAAATTTATGCAAACTACAGGAAAACAGTTACAGTGTGTACATGTTATCCAGTAATATATTATTTTAACTACGTTTACCAAACGTAAGATAATTATGAAACACATTGCAAGTTAAAAACATTGCATCACATACTTCTGAGGTCCTACAATCACTATGTAAAACTATATAAAAATATGAGCTCATATTTGTTGCTTTAAACACAGTTGGATGTTAATGTTTAACTTAAATGTTTAGGCAATGTTTTTGTTTGTTTCTAAATTCATACATACTACAAAAAACAGTTACAGTGTGTACATGTTCTCCAATTATATATATTATTTTAACTATTTTTACCAAAAAGTGTGATGATTATGAAACACATTGTAAGTTAAAAACACTGCAACACATACATTTGTGGTCCTACAATAACTATGTATAACTATATAAAGGTATAAGCTCATATTTGTTGCTTTAAACACAGTTGGGTGTAAACATACAGTTCATAAAAAACGCTAAAGATTAGTGATTGATAAAAACATTTAGGGAATTAATCCTAACATATTTATTTCGTTGAAGAAAAAACAAATTACAAGTTTCCTAAACTAGGATATTTATTGCAATGACATTATGTTTACAAAACATCATGAAAAGAAATGTTAAACCCCACTAATTGTTCCAATTAATTTTTATACGTTGACATTTATGGTTTATTTCTGCATTTTGTGTCTAGCTAAATGAGTCACTGAACAACAAACGAAATTACAAGTACCGAATTACACATGAGCAGGAATATATTTGTACAACCTTAAATGGCAGAAATGTTTTTGATTACAGACTTATAATGACTTGCAAGATTGGTAGAAATTCATTTTTGTAGCATACATCCAGTTCATTTAATAGATTTAATTTGTTATAACATTCAAACCACATTGTTCAATAAATTTTATTTTTAATATTTGTAGATGAATACAACAATACATTTCAAATGGTATTGAATATATTTATTAAATACTGTTAAACTTTTTTGACCTACACTTTTATACCAAGTAAAATTGTATATCCCAATATTTAAAATTTCATATTGGTATAAATTCAGTTACAGATTAAATGATTAAAAACATAAAATGTGCACTAAATATACCCAATGTTACCCTCATACCCTGGTCTACATCAACTCACAATATTGGTTTTCAGGCTATTTATTAAAATAATTCCTTGTAACAACTCTCACTTTCCTAAGAGAAGAGAAATTCAGTAGCCCCCCAGGCATTGCACTATTTTTAGATCTCCTGGAGGTCCAGCCTAACAGAGCCAAATGGAACCACATGGAACCACACAGATCAGGATCCCCACACAAAACTCTGCACTTCCCCCTACTCACTAAATATATAGGAACATTTATTTAAAGTATGAAGAGTGATTTTTGAGAACCTAACAAAAACGTTTAAATCATTGGCGAGTGGATCAATATTTATTGCTTTATAATGAAGCCGAAACATTGGGGAGGACAACCAATGAGAAAACCAAATCATCTGCTCCATTTATCCACCGATACTGCTAAATCCCCGATAAAAGTTGAAATCAATTATCTACTCGATTTTGTAACGTATAGTCTTGAGCAAGAGCTGTGTCAACATGTCACGACAACTACTCAATATAGTGTGAACCACTGAACCACAGCATTTCATGCTCGATAAGGTAACTCAAGTTACAAGTGACCGCCGACCAAGTCATCGGCAACCCTGCGAGTGACTTACCTCGCTGCTCAAGATCATGACGGCGTGGTTGAAGTGGTGGTGTTCCATGGTGTTGGTGGTGCCGTACAGCTGGACCAGAGGAGAACCAGCCCTGTAGTCACAACACTCGTTATAACACTGCAGCATATTTACCATTTATTTAAATAAAAGTTGCTTCTACTCATGTATTTAATGTGGTATCAAAGAAAATGTAGCCAATATTCAAATAATACAGTACAAAATATTCTGATAAAGTAGGCCAACCTCCATCCAAATCCAATCAACTTGTATATTTATTTACATGTCTATTAAAATATAGATTATCCTCATATATGAGCTACAGTAATCTACAGTTTTATTATTTCGATTTTAAATGCGATATAAAGACCAACCCTTCATGTTTATTTTACAAATTCTCTAATTATGAGAAAACTATGTTTGAACTAATTTTGGATTAACAGTTCTAAGGTATATAGGCACAACTGCTGGTACATGTAGAAAGCATACTTTTCTTGGAACGCGTTGTTGGTTCCTCTGTGGTCAAGGTCGTGACAAAGACATCCAACGAACATACCAAGAACCTCGAGATCGCTGAAAGTCCCTTTCATTTCGCAACCCTGCAACAGGTTTTAGTTCTGTAGGCCTACTGATTCAATGAATTCTGAAGTATTGGCAACTATTTAAAAAAATCATAAAAGTCATTATGCAATTAAAAAACTGCAATCAACTTGGCTGTAGACTAACAATTAAAACAAAATTAACGTGACAAAAATTTGATGTCACTACAAAACCCGTTACAGCCTATTTTATTTGTATACATCAACAATATATTTCTGAATTATTGTAGACCTATTACAAAGCCAAAAGTGGTCATTCTTACCATCAGAATGGCGAACATGACCTGGGCGACGTTGAAGGCGTGCCTCCAGTTATGGTAAGGAACGTCCCTGTAGTTGCGCTTTACTGTTATCAGAAACCTGTACAGCGTCTGCAATAGCAACAAAAGCAATACAACTGATATCAAAGGCAGCGTTAAACAGACAAAGGTTAGTATAATTTATTTTACAAAAATATATAGGCCTATACACTTTTAGTTATAGTAAGATAAGTATTATTACAATTTGATCTGGAAAATCAAATAACACTCTTTGAACATAACTCGTCATTATTATTTCAGTGGTATGTAAACTGAAGTATAATCATATTGGTTCATTAAAGTTGACATCTTGTTGCCTATTTTAAAACAACCAAACCTAGTCTTAATCTGACCTGATTGAAAAAGGGAAAGAAAGAACGTGTTATAGTCTAGATTTATCTAGTGTACACATAACAAGGTACATGTCTCTTAACCATGAAATTACTGTAATTTCTGTTAGACTTCAAGTTACAGTTGCTGCTAACAGGTCAGCTGATCTATTTCAGGATATCTTACAAAAGACTCGTTTCAATGCGGTCAGGCAAAGCTAAGTAATTTGCCTAAGTGACCTTTACCCACTATTTCATGTTCTATTACCTATGCTTATACACGGATACTCTAGGGAACAGGTCATGTAATACGTTGTAGAGTAATACTGTGCTCTACTCTATATCGTTTGAGTCACGGGCCAAGAAAATGTATTATAGAATATACTTTATAGTAGGACAATTTCGTTAATAGGACAGTATTTTACTTTAAAAAATTGTGTAAAAGGTTATTTTTAATGTTTTATGGGTGTAGAATAAGTATTTATTAGGCGCTATTGAATGCTAATTTATGTTACACTAAAATACTTATTATTATAAAATATAATTATTATAATACAATTATTGTTTGATTATTAAATTACTGTTACATTAGCGAATGGTGATGTGCACTATTTTTGAAATGTCTGACTTCTCACTCTTCATAGTTCTAAATGTAAAAACGTGTTGTGTCGTTCCGAGGATAAAACGTCATTTCACCAGGCCAGGACCTAGTTGAATATTGTATTTCTCATTTCGTGACAGGACAGAAGCTAAGTGAAGGCTTGACATGTTCCAATACAGCGTCTCTCAGGAGTTGTTTAATGTTTTACTGCAGGAAGGTCTATAAAATTTAAACTTTCAATAGTACTTGATATGTATGTAAAGCCTAAACTATAGAACTAAGTATTACTGTTTCTTCAATCGCAAGATTATTATTGTGTCAATTATTGAGTGTTATTAAATTAGAGTACAATATAGTTGTAAAAATGAATGATAAAACTAGCATCCACAGAATAATGTTTAGTGACGGAACATGGAATCGTTCAAAATCTTAATTACCGTATTTTATTCGTGTTGGAATGGAAATACATAAATTAGATATTAGATATTTTTTATCGTAATTACACTGTTTTGAAAGCTACTGGAAAAGTGCAGTTATTTTTTAATACTTATACTTTTCATAAATAACAGCGTTAAAAAATATGGCTACATATAGGCACTACTTTAACAATGGGTTACTAACTATTTATTTTTTTTCCTAGGACTGCTAGGCACGAGCCTGGGATTGATTTTTACATTACTTCAGGCTAGACCTAGGGGTTGCGGCATTATCACTTAGATAAAATCCATTGGTGATGTTATAACTTGATAATGTAAATAAACATATATTATTTAATCCGTAAAACTATGCTTAAGGCAAAAACGGTAAAACTTATAATAAATGTGGGCAGAAACGAACGAGCTACGATCGTGCCTCACCTGTGGACTGCTGAAGACTGGTCGCTCTTATCTCGGACGTATTGTATTCTGTCTTGACCTTTGTCCAGCGTAGGTTCGGTCTCTATTGTCTTCTATGTCTTACACATTAACGGATTTTTCCATTCAGGTTATTACAACTAAAGAATGGCTACTTTGCCCAAAATAAAACTCAAACAAATAAATCTTCCTTTATAACAGGTGACTTGGCGGGGATCGAACCCGGGACCTCAGGGACTGAAGTCCCGCGCTCTAACCACTACGCCAGCTCGCTCCCCAATGGGTTACTATTACTCTAAACTTGTAGTAAAAATATATTTTTAATACCCTAATTTGTACAGTTACTTGACACAATAATATGGAACTGCATTTTACAAAAATTATCTTTTACTTATTAAAACTCATTTGAAAAGAAGTCATTTTTGTTATACCTACTTTCATGTACAAATATCAATACTACGGTACTTGGAGTTAATTCAGTGTAATGGCTGATTCTGTATGATGCATGACTGAACTGTATGTATTTCACAGCTTCCCTTTCCTCTATGTTTCATGTTTTCTGTCACATTCTCCACGACGACACACTAACCTCCTTGTCTATGCTGAACCTCTTGACCAGTCCCAGTTCCAGGAACATGCTGACGGCCGCCAACAACATCTCCTCGTCCCCCAGGGAGAAGTCGTCGAAAGACAGAGAGTACAGGTTCAGTTCATCTGCCGCCGGCACTGGCTTTTCCTGCCGACGTTAAAAAACTTGAGTTTCTAAACTTCAAAATATATTGAAACAGCATCCTTTAAAATGGTTTCATTTATCTATCATTGATTGAGTACCTGCAGACTTACAATCTATAATAGTTTTTAATGTTTGTTTCTTGTATGACATTGCTTAGATGTGGTAAGGTTACAGTGTATTACATATGCTTGTGGTATTAGCCATTTAGATTAAATGTTTATTGACCTTGCATACTGCAATTAGACCTCGTATTTTAATTCAATGTAGATATATTCCATAAAATAAACGGTATCAGCATTCTGACACATACTTTCTCCCATAAGTTTGTCAACAACCTTTATCATGTGTAAACGGTGAGAGTAAATATACGGAAATGGGATTTGTACAATTTTGTTCAGAATTTAAAGGACTATAACATACTAAATTTTTATCAAAATTGTTCGAGCCAATTTTGGGAAATCCGATTTTTCCGTTATTTTATGGGGTTTTATGGGGAAATAACATAATTTACAATAACTTTTGAACCGTAATTTTTACAGAAAAGGGATTTGTACCATTTTGTTTAGAATATAAAGGACTATAACATACTAAATTTTTATCAAAATCGTTCGGGCCATTTTTTAGAAAATCCGATTTTTCCGGTTTTTTATGGGTTTTTATGGGAAAATCCCCATTAAAAATCAAAATTTCAAAAAAAATAAAAAAAAACGCCTGGAGATACCATGGATTAGAACCTACATACCAAATTTCATCGAAATCGGACAACAGGTGTAGTCTCTAGCTCTGTACACATCCAGACACACAGACACACACACACACACACACAGACATCACTTCGAAAACCACTTTTTTGGGGCCAGGGGGGCCCAAAACGAATATATCCACTTAAAACTCAAACTCGAAAATTTTGACGAAAACAATACTTTCTCCATATACTATGGTATAGGGGGAGAAAGTAAAAACTATTACCTACAGTAAAAATAAATCATTCTATTTTATTCAAACATACCTTAAAATCGTCTTAGCTCAAAGAAATATTTCGCAATCTATCTATATATTAATTTGAAACTGTTTTTCTTTGTCATGGCTATTTTGAGAGAACGGCTGGGCGTAGAAACTTGGTAGGGGTGTCTAAAGAAAGGTCTTGGTCTGTAGATGAGCCATCAAAAGAGAAACGTGGTAAATTCCCTAGGGGCTCTGCCCCAGTGGCCTTTAAAGTCCCATCCCATGTTATTCTTATGGAGGAAAACGGGGTTTTTGTCACAGCTAATTTGAGAGAACGGCTGGGTGTAGAAACTTGGTAGGGGTGTCTAAAGAAATGTATTGGTCCGTAGGTGAGCCTTCAAAAGAGAAACTAGGTAAATTTCCTTGGGACTCTGCCCCAGAGGCCTTTAAAGTTCACTCAGCAATTTTGTTTACATTACGACCATATGGATAATTTTACACTACTTTTAATGAACCAGCTGTTAATATTAAAATTGTATTCAAAGGTCTACTGAAACTGTCAAAATTTAATGTTTACATTATTATTTATGATTATAAATTGATTCTCCACTGCATGGCAAGTTTTTTATAGTTTCAACAAAATGATAAATTTATGATACGTTTTAAATGTTTTGATCAAAAATATATGCTTTATTGCTCTTAGAAAATTTTAAATTATGAAATAAGTGTGACATATCAATTTCAAAGGAACATAATTATTCCTTATCGGGTTAGCTTATATATTGTAAGGTTGACACTTGCCTTTTTTTTGCCTACTTTCAATTACCATTTATTTTTGAATTCAAGAAAGAACACCAGAAATTCTTTAATTGGTATAAAAGTTTTCGACAATCGGGTTAAAAATTGTGTCATAGATGAGTACGTTGAGGATGAGAGATATGTTCAAGTTTTGGAATAGACTAACTACGGAGTATGTTTAATCTATGGTTTTGGTAAAGTAGGTGAACTAATGTCAGGTATTTAAAAAAATGTGTACAGGGTTTTTACTTTGATGTACACATGTAGCTAGGTCGAACAACGCATCTAAACCTCACTACATACAAAGCATTCGGAAACACAACAGTGTCATCACATCTCATCGCATTTGCATAATTTGTTACCAAGGCTGGACTAGGTTATGGATTTGGTTCCGCAAATGTTCAAGATTTGTGATCAAATTTCCTACAATTATGGTTCATTCCATCCATGAAATACATGCACAGCTTTATGTTATCGATCTGGCCAAGGCGAAACTATCCCATAAGTTAATGAATTATCAAGTAAGAACAGGATGATTTATTACATGGGTCGATGTGGCAAGAGAAGGAATTAAAATTGCTTAGATCGAAGTAATAATCTTACTGCTTTCTAGAGAATCAGATATTTTTATCAAATACAAAAAAAAAAAAATGATTAAATATGCTGATAAAATTCTGTATTTTTATGACCAAAGATGAAGATTTACTTATTAATCCGGATACAATCTGAATGATTTTCCTAAAGCAGATTGAATTAGTTGTTAGTAATAAATATTGACTCTTTCCGTAACATGATAGACTAATTATATGAAATCATTCTCCCATATAGTGAAAGTGGCTTTGACATGAAACAAACTCATGAACAAACAATTATAAGACTCCTAAAAAACCTTTTGGGTAACCTAAAGCCGATAAAAAGGTAGGAAAAATTGTGTTAAACGAATTCATCAATCACGTTTTTTAGGGAACACAATCGTCATACTTATTATTATGCTTATCCTCCCTTCATTTAACTAAGATTTTAATGACTTCACTCTATCTATCGCAGTTAGCTGAATTTACATAAAACCTCAAGATTAACCGTCGATTTCGACGGGGTTCTACTAGTCAAACTTAAAACACTTTGTTTAATATAACCTTATATATGAAATATATAATACAATAGCATAATTCATCCCTTTCTCAAATCTGTTTATTTCTACAGTTAATTGGACGAGTTAGTATGAAACCGTTGTAAACAAGAGGACTTTAATAAGTTTAACATAAGTTTAAAGTAAAATTGTTATATTTTTTATTTAAATAAATTAATAGCTCATAGTGATGGTTCCTTTGTTCCTCATTATTACCTATTTCCATACATGGTTCTAATGTTGACGGGTCTCCTCTAGCTTATTGTAAGGAAATCAATTTGTAAGGTTAATCTATGAACCATTGTTTAATCTATGTTGATACTAATTTTAGTCTTTTTGCAGATACTGTAGATGATGTAACAAATAACTTTATATAAAGTGATAGAGATCTTAACAGTATAATGTTTATTCCGATTTCACAATAAGAGAGCAATCTCCGTGCTCTAATTATGCTCTGTAATCTGAGGTTAATTAGAATGCATGAGTGTTGGAGAGCGGCCAGGCGGGTCAGATCTGCAGTAAGCCGGATGTTATATCAAGGCTAACCATTCTCCATGAAAACAATTGTTTGGTTCACCTTACGCTTAAAAATATAAAGAATTGACAGTGACCTGTTTTACACAATTGCGGGTAAGGTCTACGATTTACAGGTTATCGTATATTCAAGCATATTAAGGTTTGATAACCATAAGGTAAGTTGGTCATTGTCGTAAATCATTAGAAAAGGTTAAATAGAGATCAATCCCATCTTAAGCCGCACCCCCAACCTACAAAATCCCTCCCTTAGAAAATTACATGTTAAACTGTTCTAGATGTTCTAGATATTTAGACTTTTTTGGATTTCATGTTCTGAAGCGGTAACTTTTTTTAACTACAACCTTTTTTATGTCCCCTAATATTTTAAACCCAACCCCTTTTGCGTAAACGAGACAGTTGGCAATAATAATAACTTTTCTAATGAATGTACCTTTCACTTTTCATGTTTTGATCACAAAAGCGTGGTCGGTCCCCATTCTTCGTACAGATTATTTACAGACCCCCCCCCCCCCCCGACCAAAAAAAGGGGCCTAAGATTATACAAAATAGTTTTATAACGTTATTGCTATTATATTATTGTATTATTGAACTAAAGAATATTTATAGATGATGACGCAGTGAATTTAATCATTAAAGTACCAACCCCACATCAAGACTCTAACATATCAAGACTTGTTTGATACTCACCAAAAACAACCCCTCTATGATATGCTTAACAACTGCCAAGTGGTCATTGGTTTTTTAATACAGAAAAATCTCACACAGCATCCTGTCCCTCATGGCACATTTTATCAAACCCCAAATAAAAATCCTACTATAACTTTGAACTAATTATATCAACGAATCTAAAGTAAAACATGTTTTTACTCACAATAAACACTTCCAGTTCTTTGTTGGATGCAGTAGCGTGATAGGACAGCACCTGAAATACCCCAGGAAAGTTAAATAACACAGACAATTATAATAAACTAATATACATTGGAGGGGTCTTTGGCCAGTCATGCATTTAGCTCACCTCTATGGTAACCTTCTGGCGCGCCATCGCCTTCTCCACCTCCGAGTACATCATGGTGTTGTGGATCCCGAGGCCACAGAATATTGTGAAGGCCTTCGAACAGAAAAATACTGTTTAATCTATGTAAAAAGTAACCAACCCGACCTAGTTGCTTAATTTTGTAAGTACTTATCAAGGGTTAAAAGTCTTCATTATTTATTTATTTATTAAATTTATAATTAATATTTCAAAGGTAAAAGTAGAACATATTCTAACACAAAGTGATAAAAGTTCGAACTATACATATACTCTGCAAACATAGACTACAAATATTTGAAGGATATTCTATTTACATTTCATAGAAACCATTAAAATTGAAATACCTCAAATAGTTGCTCGTCTGCGTCATCGAAAGGTGATCCGTTGAGCTTGTTTATTATACTGCCAACCCCTGGAACAAGCGTTTCATAACGTGGAATTTTATTTTATTTGTATTTTATAACATTATGGCGTCGCGGAGTTTACAAAACCTACTGACCGGGTTTAATAAATACTCATAATAAACAACATCATTAAAATAGTATTAATTTTTCTAATGAATTTTATTGTTTTTTCTGGCAGGTATATACCGCTGCATATTTCGTCCCAATATTTGCCTCTTCCCCTCTTCATCGTGATGAATCAAACGAAACCTGCCTTCAGTAAAACTATATTAAATTGTACAAGAATGTTGTTTACTAAAAATATGTATATTTGCAAAAACGAGTATACAAAAAAAGTTTTGAAGTTCAGATTATTTTCTTATAAATGAATATAAATAAGAAAACACAAGACTATAGATGCCGGTATCACCACCCTGTACCTCGTTAGCTAAGACTCATTTTTTAAACCACCGCAATCTATGTTTATATACACTCATATTTATTTCTACAATTGAATGAGTTTAGTAAGAAACCGTTGTAAACAAGAGGACTAAGTTTAAAGTAAATTTGTAACATTTTGGAACTTATCAGCTTATAGTTATGGTTCCTTATTATGATTGTTCAACTTACCGATAATCTGGTACTTCCTGTTGCGGATGGGCATGGCCAGCAGACACCGCACGTTGCCTACAGCTCCCTTCTCTACTTCGACACACTCCGCGACATTGACAACTTCTCCAGACTCCGCCACCCTCTCAGCCAACCCTAGCAGGTACCTGGACACACTCCCCTTCTCCACCTGCAGTCTTGGGCTGTTAAAGAGATTTTGTAAACGATTTTTCAAAAACAATGAATTTAGGAAAGGTGTTCTCACGGAAAGATACGCTCAGAGAGTGGTGTGTGCCTTGAGGTGAGAAGAGAGAGCAATTAAGCTATGTGAAACTGCTGTTTAACTATTCACTCTCCTCTCCCGGTCCACAGATCTACAAAAATGTATATACTTAAAAACCATAGTTTGTATTATTTTCTAATATAATATTTAAAACTCTTGAGTGTCAAGTATTAGTGGATTCAATTACGAACTTTCTATCTTAGCGAGTCCTTTCTTCATATTTCAAAAAAGTTCAGCATATATTATAGACAAAATAATAGTATTCTGTGCAATAATCCCAACTGAACCTAATCTGATTATCAAGCATATTAGATTGCATATATTAGGCCTGTATAGCATGGATGTAACCAATTAATATTCTGCCATATATCAAACACACTCCCTTTGGTTAGTCTATGATTTTCTAAGTTAAAATGCTAATTTATGAGGATCACAATGTTACACATTGTGAGCCGGAACAGGATAACGATTCGTTTTTAGGAGTCGTCCATAGAGTTAAGTTGTTCTCTCTTTGGCTCTCACCACTCTTTGAGGTATTTCCCCGCACACTAAAATGCTGGTATAAAAACCTTCTGATGAAAGCCTTCTGGTTGACTTTTACAACAATTTGCTGAAAGTAGTTTTGTTTTGAGTAGCAAAGTTATAATTTTACAACCCAATATCAGCTGTAAACATGTTCAACGCGTGAGTTTAATTTTCCCAACACGTTGCGGAAATTCACATAAAGCCGCAGCAGTTTAGGCTGGCGTGTTTTGATTAAACTCGTAAAGTGAGCTGAGCTTGGGTCAGTGGTTGTGATTGTGATTGTTGTCGTTACGTTTAAAGCCTGAGGCCTTCATTCTACTGGATTCGGCCGCATTATGTTTATTACTTTTATATGACCCAATGATGCGTTAGTGGCAAATTGGGTCCAAAAAGTTTGACAAATTATATTTACAGTAATTTATTATGTCTTAAATTAAATCTGTGTAGGTACATACAGTACTGTACTTTGATGTCATTACGACATGTGTAAGCAATCAAGTAGAAATAATGAAACCTAACCTAATTTTAGATTTAGTGTTGTATGTAATAGTTCTAATAATCTATTACGTTTGATTTGTAAACCAAAATTGTACCATAGATTAAACAGTATGTTTAATCTATGATTGTACTATCTAGGAAAAGATTGTTACAATTGAATAATATATCTTACTTGTTAAGGGTGTTATGGCCATCCATTGGAGAAGACAATTCGAACAATTTGGAAAATTTCACCACCTGAAAAACATAACATCAATTAGCATATGGCCCACTGTTAATTTACTATAGTCTGTTTAAAAGATTTAGGTGGATCGAGGGAGGTCCCACCATTACCTTTTTGCTTAGTTATGTTGCAGCTTGTTGACGTTTTGCCAAACCTAAGCTGTTGAGCTAGTATTTTAAGGGTAGGATCAAGTGGAGAGGATACATTTCTTCTCCTAAAACCACCAAAATTTTGTGAACGGAGTATACGTATATCTAATTTGATGGTTTATTTATTTTCATATACGACTAAATAGTGGGATTTATAGTTAATATTTTTGATTTAATTTTTAGAACAGTAAAAATACGTCCAAGAAATTTAAAATTAACTGTAAGCTGTGTAAGAATTTACCCCACTAAAATATACTGTAATATTACTAAAAAAATTAACTCACTTCTTGGTTGGAACTTTATGCAGTAATTTTAGCAGTAAACTAAGGTAAGAATAATACGTAAATATTATCTCCATGTGTGTCAATGTAAAAAATCTAAATGAACAGAATGAATATCAAATGTCAATATCAAATAAATCAGAATCCAATATCAAAGAATCGCTTTGCCAATAATGTTATATATAAAACTGGAAATACAGGGATGTGGGGCTTACAGTGATTGTATATAAACTGTATATAATGGATTTAAAATATAAAATAGTAGCAAAGTACCTGTCCTTCGTACGGGGTTGGCGTAAGTATAAAATGCTTATTGCAGTTATATTTGTGCTTTGCGTTTGCAATAGGAGAGGACACGGTTTGAGAACATTTGGTTATTTTAATTTACGATATGCTATAGTATATCACATCTACCATAGCCGTAATGTTCTACCACTGCCCCTAAGCAATAAAAAAGTGAAATTCTAATTTTTAACAGCTTTTTGTTGCTAGTTGGTTCAAATTAGAGTTCTCATAAATGCAAACAAATTAATAGTGCTGCACCCTGATGGTACCTTATAACTTTTTAATGCTATTTTATTTATATAATAGAACCAACTTGTGTAGTTGAAAAAGCTGACAACATTCTTTTATTCCTTTTAAATATGAATACTCATAGGGTTAACATGGCAAACTCCAGAGCCACTGGGGTGGAGCCCTAAATGAGTTTTTTAGATTAGAATACGTCTATATGTCCGAATCGGGAATGTGAGCTATCATGACACCAAATTTCAGCCCAATCCGACCAGTATTTTTTGCGTTTACTTGTCACAAACATCCATCAACATTCAAACTTTCTCACTTATAATATTAGTAGGATAAACACATGTAGACAAAGCAAAATTTTAACATTCGGATCTCAAAGAAAAAGTTATACACATAATTATATAATGAGTTTTTTTATTTAGTTTGATTTGTAAATTAATTGATGGAACTAAGAAACCACTTGTCTAGGGGAAGAAGCGAGTTAACCACGTTAAGCAACGTTGTATTAATTGGAGTGCATCTGAAGCCTCGTTGAAATACCTCAGACCCTCAAGCTATAGCCACTACTGGCGTGTATCTGGGATATCTGAATCTCATGAATAATGATACAATCTACAAAAACTATCTTGCTTGAATCTAGTTAAGGTTTATTACATAAAGCCTATATTATAGTAACTGAAAATTGGCCTTAACTTAGTATTGATGTTATAGTATAGTCACAGATTACTTGATTTTCAATTTTTTTTTTGTAAAAATTGTTACATAAGATTTTTATGTTGGTTATGGCTAATATATTACGTAGGTTTATTATTAGTATTTATTAGTATTATTATTTATTAGTATTATTAGTATTAGTATTTTAGAGTACAGCACTTAATACTAAACAAACATCCATTCGTATACTCTCAGATTCACATTTAAACGAATAACTGTGAAATGTTCAACGTTTGTTCCATTTTCTTAAGTTTTTGTAAAGCAATGGTCCACACTCTAGTCTTGTAACTATTAAACGTTAACCTGAAAATTATAACTGACATTTCTCATTATGATTATTAATAAAAAACTAGTTTTTACGACGTTTCGTGATAGGAGTCAAGTCTCCTCATAAAGCGAGAAGGTACATAAAACAAAACAATATTTTGTTACGTTTCAGAAGATCTCGAGGTTTAATTAACACTTTTTACTAACCGTAATAAAAACTGTTTCTGTATCGACACTTCAAATAACTCCAAAACGAATTTTAAACAATCAATCGACCTGCTTTTAGGCAGATTCATTGATAACACTGTAAATCCAAGGAAATATAGTAAATGTGTCATGTATATTTTTTTATGAAAGCCAGTAACCTTTAGATTTGAAGTAAATTAATCACTATATGTAATAATTAAAAGAAAAAAATAGTATCTTCCTGCAAAAAGTGATCATTGTAGATTCTACAACTGGTACTTGTAAACAGCATAGCAGCTTAGCCTACCTCTGAGCTCTCGTCCACAATGAGCACTGCAGCCCTCTCACATTTGAGCAGACGCTGGGCTCGCTGCATGATCTTGAGGATCACCTTCTCTAGCGAGGTCTGCTCCTCGAACAAGTCGTGTACCACCTCCAGCAGGTTCTGTACAACACAGAATACCAGTATAGATCATCAACTACACTTCACTCCTAGAAGTGGACTCCTGAGGTAGCGAAAATAGCTGTTCACAATACATGCGTGGGGCTAAAGGGATTCTTTGTATCTATAGAGTAACAAATAATAAACTGTAGCCACAAATTTTAGCTGTAAAACCTTACCCTCTGACAAAGACATGAAGTCTGCATCTAAGAACTTTCCCTGATTTTGCTGATAAAAATAATATTATATCGATGTTAAACTTTATATGTTAATTATCATGCCAAATGGAATATTTCACTACAATAAATACACTTTTATCAATAATTTATCTGTGATTTGGATTCAAATTTATTACGTTGCATTCTTTCTACCTTTATGTTATCAAACCCCCCCTTTTAATGGCTAAGTGGTGGGAATAACTTTGATATTTTATGGGTGAAATTACAAAAATTGCAATATAAGGGTCGTAAGATTTTGTTCATTATTAAAAAGTCAATAATGTACAAATTTTAAATAAAATTAGTACGAGCCGTTTTTGTAAAAATCCTACTTTCCTGTTATTTTATGAAAACATCACTTATTGTTATTCATAATATTAAAAACTCATATAATATTAGAAGTGCTAAAAATTAAATTGCTTTCAGGGATTGGTCACTTAGTTGTGTGCAATATCCATTCACTTACCCTATTCCTCTCGTATTCAAGTCGAGAGGTCTCCACTATCTGCGCATTTGTCAAAGCAATCCCCACGAATTGCAAGTAGGTCTCGAACAGCTGCAATGAATCACAGATTAACGATTGAGAAGATAATGGCGTTGGCCATACCTCAAAACTATTGGCAAAGCAAGAGTTGCACGATTACACGTGGCTTCAGTTACAGAAATTATTAATGCACATCCAACATGTTTTATGTGTGTAATTGTGTGTTTTTGGACACACTGAGGAACATCTCTGTGAAAATATGACTATAAATTTAAAGATGTGTATGAAAGAAACGTTTTTGGAAACAGTGCTTTACGCAAAATAAGTTTAAACACCACTACTTATATAATATTTTAATAGCAATTCATATAGTTTCTATATCAATTATTTTTTATTCGTTAACATAGGGGTTTTTATTTGGATGACAAAGAGACGATTCAATCTCTTTTACAAGTAATGCAGTCTTCATTGTACTAAAGGCTTAGATATATTCATCATAGTGTTTTCTAAATACCTTTTCATCCTTTGATGTGAAGTGACCGCCATCTTTGTCGGGGTTCTTGTTGATAACCTGAGCCACGGCAATGATCTCATCGTAGGCGTTCCTCACCGCCATACACAGCAAGGACTCTGTGTGGTAGCCTGTGATGCGATCTACCTCGTCGTCGAACCGTGGGTCCTACATAACGAACACAGAACATTGTTCAGAACTACATACTGAGGTCAGACGTCAACTCGTCACAAATTAGACTCTCCCCAAGAAAAAGAAGGTACACACAACATATTGTACACGCCTATAGACTGAAATCGTCAGAAAACAGCAGACAATAAGAGTAGTAGCATTCTATACCACCTCACTTTTACACGGGACCTCCAGTTAAAACAAACAGGAGTAAATTAGTAGGTTCACTAAACTTTGAAAAGTTGTTGTAATCCTTTCATTTAAAGTATGCTGGCTTAGGCACTAGCTGTTTACCTCGCAGGCGACCTGAAGGTTGACAGTCTCGCCAGTGTCGGCGACGTGACCTAGCACTCCCACACCCCAGGGAACCTCCACCTCGTTGTCACCCCCCGGACCACCCCCTGGCAGCAGGAACCTCGCGGCGCCGCTGTGGACGTCGAACACCTTGGACACCAGCGTCTGTCTGCCTCCCTTGCGACCCTCTACCAGGAACAGGGATGCCCCGTCAGCGTCCAGCAATACCTGCAAAAAGGAGGAAATTTGTCTAGAATTACTGCTAGGAAACTTCTCGTCAAGGTGAAGTCATCCAGAACAACATCTCAAACCCATAGCATTTTTGTGGGACTAAGAGAAGTGTCAACAGTACAACAAAGGTTGTATACATTTCAGTCTTATAAGTGCATACGATTGTTAGCCTTGTTAAGGTTTAAATAAATATGCAGACATCTAATTTATTACTTTATTTTTATTCAACTTTATCGTATATCAAATCCAGTTAATAAGTATCACCAGGGTGAGCTAAGGAATAATGTTATCTACTTGTTTGTTGTTAACTGTTTAAAATATGTACGATAGTAAAATTTGATGCATCTAAACTTCGTCAACCCATCAGCTTTGAGACTACGTGACTATGAATAACTCAATATTTCATCAATGATCAAACAAATCCTTAAATCATGTTTTGTAGCAAAGAAAATCGATGGGAAAATTAATTTTATTTATTAGTAGGATGAAAGTAGTTATAATTTTGTTGATAAGATAAGAATTCTTTTTTAAAATAATCATCATAGAAATTAAGGTTTGTTTGATAGGCCTAAATTGACTTTAAATCGTGTTTTTGCGATTAGGTCCAAGAACAAATTTGTCTTAGTCGATCTTTCGTATGGTAAAATGTTTGCCCTATACTACAGGGCTTACCGTTAAGTTGTCAACGGTCTTGTGCGAGAGACTCTTGAGGTCCAGCTCGGTGGCGACATCTCTCACTATGTTGAGGAAGAAGTCTCTCTCTCCCTGAGTGCGCAGCAGCTCTCTCTTGGTAGAGCGACTGTGGGTAGGAGCGCTCTGGGGCAGACGGACCTTAGACTCTATCAGGAGCGACAACATGTTGATGGAATTGGGCGGCAGAGACGTGTATCTACACAAACATTCAGAGCGTGGACATACGTTTGGACTAGACCCATAATTTAAATTTATTTATTAGATGTTTTGCAATACGAACATGCGATGTGCTAAGAGTATACTTTGTAGACTCTTACGGGTGTAAGAAGGAATTGGTATTTAAGTGTTTAAAAATAAACTATCTTTTAAAAGGGCTTTTGATCCGTGAATAAATGCTTTGCACTACCGAGTTCCTTATTTTTCCAACCCAAAACTAAAACTGACTTTAATGATGAAAATAAATAGTGAGGCCTAAGGCTGGAGCTGTAGAACTAATAATTAATTATTTTTAAGTTCTTAACGACTGTAAATTTAACCATACCTATCTAGCACGATATGACAACCAATTGAAACGTATTCATTATACGCTTTCATTCTATGAAGATTGTCCAAAATGCATAATAGTAAACCACTTTAATAAATTATACAACATTTTATTGACGAATAACTCCTAAAATTCAGCCCTTTAATGCACACACAAACTTCTGTTAAGCAAAATTAAACGATGGATGAGTTAAACTTTTTTTAAATAATGTGCTGAGTAATGGAGAGGTTTTCAAATTGTTTACAAAATATTTGACTCATTTTAACTATAGTAGTTACACAGAAGTTTGGGGGAAATTTTCTGTTTAAAGAATGACTATCTAACAGAAGTTCAGATAACATTTGAAATTAAAGTAAATCTGTATAACATAAACTGACCTGGTAAAATGTGTTTTTACCGTTTCCAAAACAATCCCGAGTGTAATCTTCTCTCATTGTAAAATATTACAGACTTTTATTAGGTAGAGTTAAGTTTTAGCATATTCTTACCATTACAGATACATGACTAAATAATCAAAATTAAGGTAACAAGACAATCGAACTTGTGTTTCGAATTTTGAGAATTTAACTTGTATAATCACTGACAATGACCCTTTGTGATGTTTAAAAATTTGTCAACCAACTTTATGTGTACGTTTTTCTTTATAGGCACTGTATGTCTCAAAAATAAAAAGCAATCCAAAATTATCAAACATTTTAGGGTGTAAAATAAGTCTTAAATGTACACATGCCACATAACTTATAATGACTGTTGAAATCAGCGGTAATTATAAATTTGCAACGGTAAAATTCTAACCTAAGTTTCCTTAACTATATGAAAAGTTTCTAGGAACAATAAAGGTTTAGTGACACTTATTGGAAGATAAAGGACTGAACGTTCTGCCGATCCAATAATCCATACGACAGCAAATAACGACACCGGCTGAGTAGACCAGTGGCTGTGCAATGGTATTCCTCCTCCATTCCTAGTATAGATCGTACGAGTAGTTTTGTTACTGATAGCAGAAGTAAAAACTCAACAGTTGACATTAAATTACATAAGCATAAAATAGTGTCCATAAACGTAATTACTTTGATCAAACCATTGAAAATGTTTCTAAAATATTTAATGGAACAATGAAATTAACTAAATCCGACACCAAGAGTCAAAAGTACGCTTGACATGCATCTGTCAGTGAAGTCCTGTCAAAGCCATTCATCAAACAGGTTGTGGGGTAAAGAGACTTTATAATCAGCTGTTTGAGGTGATCAGTGAACGTCAGTGAAACGTCTGTATGTTCACCATCGCATCATAATTCTAATATGCGTTGATTATTTAAATGGCACGTAATTTCAATTTATCATAACGATAAGCTGCTTCAATCCGTGATTTGTGGTTGATTAATACAATAGCACATTGTGGTCTAGACACACGCAGCATCGGCTTTAAACATGTGTATTTACTAATATTTTTGGCACATTGACAAACCAGACTATCAAATTAGTATTCAATAGGGACTATCAATTATAATCTACCTACTCTTAAAATAATAAAAAAAAACTATAGGCTACCTTTTTACAACCGTTTATGAAATGTATTGTTTTGGTGTGGCTTTTCAATAATCTGTTCAAATATGCCTTTTTACAACGAGAATTTAATTAGGCTTCAGAACTTTCTAGATTGAAAAACTGATACAAGTTTTCAAATGGGTTTTAATTACCTAGGCCTAAAGAGGCCAAGATACGTATTAGCTCGAGAAACTTAAAAGGTTCTTGGCATTTAAAGCTGTGTTATCTAGGTTATACCAATACTAATACACAAATAAAACTGTTTTTTGTAATTTGGATTTCCCAGATAGTGCAGAATGAATTACTAAGAATTTTAAACAACTCCTTATAATGTAATTCATTTTGTAGACAGTAACGACCCCCCCCGTTTCTCTATATTCTTATGGTAGGCTGTACATACATTTTGCCATCAGGTAAAACATTATACATATATATAAATATATATTTAAGCTTGCAGTTTCACTAAATTAACCTAATTTATAAATTTGATGGATGTTAAGTTTTAACCTTTAGTTTGATGCCACTATTTGTTTCATATTTTCAATAATTCAATTGAGTTTCTAAGAAATATGCTACCGTTGGTCCATATATACGGCATATCTACTTTTGTATCCAACTGTCAATAGTTTCAGGCACTGGACAAAAACTAGGTGCTATGTTTGTTTATGAAAATTATTTGAAAATGGTTGGTCTTTACAACAAATAAATTATAATAATGTTGTCAATAATGGTTTAAAATTGGTCGTTTATTCATTACTATATTTACAAATTCTTCAGTACGTCAATAATTTTGATTTCTTTTTTATTAACATTCGGATATTTTTAACATAACAATATCTAACATTTCTAACTTGCATCTCCAACAAAAACAACTGTGAAATGTCCAAATGTTATAAGAAATTAAAATTATTGACGTACTGAAGGATTTGTTTGTAAACATAGTAATGAATTAAACACCTATTTAAAACCTCTATTATCTAAACTGAATAGTATTAATAGTCAATTTTCTTGCCAATCAAGCTTATCCAGTAGACCAAAGAAAAGCTAGTTCAATTTATCGGCAGCGATTGTTTATAGCTTTCCATATCTAACCAGAATATTAACTTTGACCTCCTTTGGAAGTAATAATAAATGAGCTGCAGCTCGATATTTCAGTCCAATTTTATTCCAATCCAATTTTCCAATTCCAATTCCATTCCAATTTTATATCAATTTTTTTATGTATTAACACAGTTATGGCTAATGTTCAAACGTTTTAAAAATGAAAAGATTTCTGCACAAACTAATTCTGCAATATAATAACAAAACAAAGTAATAGTTTAAACTGGGTACTGGTAGAAAACAAACCCATCAATATACTAAATTTATAAAAATCGTTACCATCAGGGTGAAAAAGTACAATTATTGCTTGATTTGACACAATAGCAAAACATTATCACTGATGAAAAGAGCCAGTTTACATCCTCTCTTATCCTCTCTTATTCCACTCTTAATCCTCACTTATTAGCATCCTCTTTTAGGAAGAACCAAAAATATTTTTTTTATTCGTAACCATTAGCCTATTTACATAGTGAAAAACTAGTACACATTGCTAATTTAGAGTTGGTTTATTTAACACAATTTCGAACGGAACCTGTCCTGGTTTTCTAAAAATTTTTATCACAAAAGCAAAAAAAAATGCGAACATTTTACCCTACTACTATTAATTGATAACTTGGCCCCATTTGAGTTTTACAGTATGAAGGAAATAATAATTTGCATTTTACTACCTAAAATCTTTTCATTAATCCTTTTATAATATGACGATGAGTCTTAATTATTATACATTTGGTATTTTCTGTGCAAGAGAAATCGAATGTAAGTAATAATTTGCCAGATCTTCTTGATCAGGAGTTCAACTTTAAATGATATACTTACAATTTTATTTCTAGTGGATTTTGTGGCAATTTATATGGCCATCATGTTTTTAAAAGATTTTTTGTAATAAATAGCGCCTTTACCTGATAAATCTTTAGACCAGTTTGATAAACCTGACTTTTCTCTGCCACTTATTATAATTTGTGTATAATTACTACTACTACAAGCATAACAGGTTTCGAATGATTTTAACTCACTTGCGCATATCTTTGAGGGACGACCTCCGACTTGTGGATATGGGCGTTTTCTCCGTCCCAGAGTTGACATCGTGCGTTCTGAAGAAGCTGCGGCTCTTGTTGCGGGCGAAGTCATGTCGCAGGCACCGCTTGGAATTGGTACGGCGATGGTTGGGCTCGGACCGACCGTTCAGTACGATGGTAGGTGTCGGTGGAGGGTTAGAGGGGGGCGGATCGTCGTGGTAGCTGGGGCTGATGTTGCCAGAGCTGGACGATCCTCTCCTGGAGGACCCGGTCATGTAGTCGTTGATGGTGAGGAACCCGTGAGCTACCAGCCACGCGTTGATCACCGACAAATCCGTCTTGCGCAGGAAGTAGTCCTGGCAGAGGTCTGGGTGCGCGTCTAGCCACTCCTCCACCTCGCTGAATGATATCTGCGTCATCTTGTACTCAGCGTGGCTACATCTCCGTCACCAGGCTACATCGCTCCTGTAACATAACACCATGGATATTGGACGAGGTCTGGGTGCGCGTCTAGCCACTCCTCCACCTCACTGAAGGATATCTGCGTCATCTTGTACTCAGCGTGGCTACATCTCCGTCACCAGGCTACATCGCTCCTGTAACATAACACCATGGATATTAGACGAGGCCTGAGTGTTCTAGCCACTCCTCCACCTCGCTGAATGATATCTGCGTCATCTTGTACTCAGCGTGGCTATATCTCCGTCACCAGGCTACATCGCTCCTGTAACATAACGCCAGGATATTAGACGAGGTCTGAGTGTTCATCTAGCCACTCCTCCACCTCGCTGAATGATATCTGCGTCATCTTGTACTCAGCGTGGCTACATCTCCGTCACCAGGCTACATCGCTCCTGTAACATAATGCCAGGATATTAGACGAGGTCTAAGTGTTCATCTAGCCACTCCTCCACCTCGCTGAATGATATCTGCGTCATCTTGTACTCAGCGTGGCTACATCTCCGTCACCAGGCTACATCGCTCCTGTAACATAACGCCATGGATACTAGACGAGGTCTTAGTGTTCTTCTAGCCACTCCTCCACCTCACTGAATGATATCTGCGTCATCTTGTACTCAGCGTGGCTACATCTCCGTCACCAGGCTACATCGCTCCTGTAACATAACGCCAGGATATTAGACGAGGTCTGAGTGTTCTTCTAGCCACTCCTCCACCTCGCTGAATGATATCTGCGTCATCTTGTACTCAGCGTGGCTATATCTCCGTCACCAGGCTACATCGCTCCTGTAACATAACACCATGGATATTAGACGAGGTCTGAGTGTTCTTCTAGCCACTCCTCCACCTCTCTGAAGGATATCTGCGTTATCTTGTACTCTCTGTGGCTAAATCTCCGTCACCAGGCTACCTCGCTCCTGTAACATAACGACATGGATGTAAGACGAGTTCTGCGTAACATTAACATGGTATAGATATGGCCATAAAACGGTACTATAAACTCTCTTCTACCCGACACCTGACACCCAATAACCAACACTTTCAAAGAAAAGTTGAAATTCCGTTTGAAGATTTGATTCCTTGCACAAATGTAGTTGACTTTAGGACGCCTTTCCTTTTCTAAAAGCTTTAGGTTCGATTTAATAAGGACCTGGCGAAAGATCACCTTATATTCTGGAACAACAATAATTATTAGTATTCATTTGAAAAGTCCATGCTAGTCCCGTGATTAAGAGACTAATTTCAGCTATGGAGTTTCAATGATCAAAATAATATTATCACGTCAATATTTAACAGTGTGCGTATTTATAGCAATAAATTGTGTTCAATTTGCAATTTTTATACACTTTACAATATCGTGAAAATAATAAAATCGGCTTTTATCAGTATGATTCTTAAAACGAATAATTTAACTAAGGCGAAAGGTATAACTGACTATATCATTACTAAGTAATCTTAGTTTCTAGAAACATTAGCACCGAACGCAGCGTTTTAATTAATTAGTTATATCATGAAACAAGAGGATTTGTTCGGATTTTCCGTTCTCTGAAAGCTGATTGTAACCTAATAGAGGTAAAATAAGCGTTGTTGGATATGTTTATTTTTAGCTGAGTGTCCAAACTAAGTCATATTATTTATTTACTGTACAACACAATGAATCGAAACCAGATATGCTGTATTATTAAACTTATCACAAACAGCTAAAATATTGAGTAAAAGAAATCAAATACTTTTTACTACTTTTATTGATTTTATATGGCTACTGGGTATTTTTCTTTTTCTAGAAAGACACTATTATTTTACATCTGGTGATATAAACGAAAAAATAACTAACTGAAAATTTAAGTATCAAAGAGGTTTAGGAATAACCTAATACTGTAAAGGAGTCATGTCCACAGCTAGTGGTGTAACTGGGCCAAACTTGTCCCTGAAGACCAAATGTATCATTTAATCATGAAAATTTGTGTCACAAATACAATTGTCAAGCAATCTAAGGATTAGTAAACATTTTGCAAAATCGGGGTTTTTCTAAGCTTGGATTTTTTTAATTGAGCCAGTTTTCGAGATATTTTATGATTCTACATTTCACAGGTATGCACGTTGATAGTTTTACCGAGCAATGTAAGAAGTTAGGTAAATAAAACAAACAAACAGTGCAAAACAACAGCTTGGTCCAACGTGCTGGAACATTACAAAATTGTCACTAAATGCAAAATGCACCGTTGTATATTTAGTGAGTGATACATTTCTTAATAACTAAACACGAAAAGATAATATTACGACACGATTTACCTTCAGTACGCAAACACTTGAATATCTTGATAAACATAATTAAGTAGTTATTCATCTAAAGAACAGCATAACTAAGTAATGTTTAATTATATTACAGATGGTTATCTAACACACAAGTATAGTCCAATCACAGCATGCAGGTTTTTTTTGTTTTTGTTTTTTTTTTTTGCAAAAAGATAAAATACAGTTTGACTAAAAATAAATCGCAGATTGGAATCTTTGTTGTGGAGCCTCTAAAGTGCACTTCATTACCAAAGGGTCCAGAGATTTATTGGTTGAGACAGCGATATCCTTCACTAAGTGCAAAACAATGTGGTGAATATCACTCCCACTACTCTGTACTCTGTCTTGCTTTTGGTAAACAACAGAAATCAAATGTTTAATAACAAATTGTGACTAACTTATAGGGCCACTAATTAGAACTGTAAAATGTAGAAATTAGAAAGACATTTAAATTAACCATCAACTTATCTGGTACGATTTTGTTTTGGCTTTTGATTTAACAATACTTATTGTTAGCTACTGATTTTCCATTTAGAGTGAGATTTTGTTATTTTGCTGTTATTTTTAACCGGAGAGTAGCCTCAATTGTTTTTCTAATACAACAATACAAGCAGATATTGGATCATACATAATATTTTATCGATGGAAAAATTTCATAAATTTCAGAACCTAATGACACGACAAACGATATTATAGTTTGATCATTTGTAAAAAAACATAAATTTATCCAGCGTTAAGTTGCACAAAGAGAACCATAATCAATGTAATTATAAAAATAGTGTGCACAACCTATATAAGTACTCAACTATCAACCAAAAAGTATAATGTACTGATTATTTATTGGCAGAAACAGTTTACAGATTACGGGTTGAGCTGTTGTCAAATCTTTCAACCACATTACAATTTGTTCAAATTCTCAGCGAAAACAAGCTTTAAGTTCCGCTTTATCCAACGAAATTACATAAATTAAATTTGAATTTAAAATCGTGAGTGAAGGATCAATTGCAATAAATATCCTTGTGAATTAAATGAAAACAAGACACAAGGAACAGACAGCAAGCAAGGCAGCAGTCAAGGGGGGGGGGGCAGACAGTTCCCTTTGAAAGCATGTACAAAAGCAACTGGTATAATAATAAACTATGACACAAAAACTTCATGGTAAATTTATTTAAGATGTGTTTATAATAGAGAACGGTGATGAAATAGTTGCTCTGTTAAACAATCTATTATACTCGTGCTACAAATTTCAAGTAATATTCATTTTTATTATAAGTGTTATGGGGACCCCTGGCAATTTTTAGAGAATCAAAAACCTCGTTGAAAGTAAACACTTTTACTGCCAATTTTATTAAAAACATTCAAGTGTGAAAACATGAAAGTTGTTAGCTCGGCTGGCAGTAAAAGCCGTGAGAGGGTGGCAAGCTTGTTAAAGTAAGCTTTTATGATAAAAGTGATATATCACAAATGTTCTTCAAATTTTAATTCTACTTTTTTTCAGAAATTACTTAGTCACAATCAACGGTTAGACTCACAAAATTTACACAGTGAACTAATGAAAAATTACAATATTCATTACCAGTATTGTTCAATTCATTATGTTTACAAATAAAGATATTAATTTGGTGCATTTCTTACAGGATAAACGATAAGGACTTTTTATAAATTATGAGTGATAATGATGGATCTTTAGCTAAGGAAGGTCCGAAATTCAAATTTCTTGCAGCTTTTTGGCGGTTGTAGTACTAAACCCGGGCCTTCCGGATTGAAGTCCAGCGTTTGAACTTATAGACCAAGGCGTACCCAACCCTTTTGATGGTGAAATGATATTGGAATAGGTTAAAATGTTCAAATCAACCAGAATTCCCCACGTTCCAGAATTTTTAGTATCCGTACTGCATGCACCAACGAATTTCTTTTACTTCCCTCAAAAATTTGTCTTTTGAATTAGAAAAATAAAATATAGCACATATATGTATATTTTAATATGACCTGATTGTCTTGCTCCTACGATTACGAATACATCTATAACATCCAGCCATGAATATTTTTATGCTCTTACTGTAGTCATTAACAATTACAGAAAGGCTTTTTAAATAAATAATAGAAATGCTAGATTCTATTCAAATATAAATTAAAGAAATTGTAATGAACAAATTGCTAAACATAGCTTCATCATGTTTGACAAGGGCTTAATCAGGTCTTGACAAGAGTATTAAAGCCATTAAAACTTCTCAAAACGAGAAAGCTTTAACTTGAGATAAAAGACAAGATTTATTTTCTATTATAGAATCTCAGTGTATTAAGTTTCATTTAATAAGGAACAATGTCTTCTGAGTTGGAAAATATTAATAGGGCACAAATTAACGGGAAAGACTTAACTAAAATAAAAGATTAATTATAAAATGAGAAAACTTATTTTTATGTTTGAAACTATTTGTTTGCGTGTAAGCTATAGAGATTATTAATAATAAATACCTTAATAGTCTAAAGATTATTTACCATGGTTTGATTTGTGTTAAATACAATAACTCGTTTGAATTCTCTTCATATTACTAACAATAGTTTTCGTTTGTCAAGAAAAAAAAATAATATTCTGGATATGTTGCGACGAATACGTATCGTTCATTTAAGTTCGATTTTCTTATGAAAAGGTTGAAAAGAAACTACTGCATGCAAGCCTTAAAAGCATACTGGGAAGAATTGCTG